ACTGGAAAAACAGAGTACAGAAATTTTATTGAAGGACTGGGAAGGATGAGATAAATAAAGGTAGAGGAGGAAAGGAAGCAGGCATGTAATGTAAAAGAATGCAGGCGACTGGAAAGAGAGGAGGAGGGAATCTAGGACGAGGTCGCAGACAAGGTCAGTTGTTATCAGCAGCACAGAGAAAATGATACTCAAAAGTTCATGGTTAAGTCCCCTAACGGCTAGTTTTCCTTGGACAGGAAGAGAGAGAGAAAGCCTCTACTGAGCGATGGAGATGTTGCTCTGTTAAACTAACTGTACTAGAAGCAGTGGCGTTAAATGTTGATGGGGTTGAAGCGAAGCAGCCCGTGTCCTGACGCCGACAACTCAACGGCTATATCCCCATATGGGTGCCAAATACTACTACTTGAGCAGGGAGGGGTTCCACGCCCACTTTCACATGTTGGACCTTCCAGGGCAAGGCCCATCCATGCTTTGTTTTCGTCGGGGTCTTATGTGAACGTTACACATTGTTTGACTTCTTCTTTGTGCATTTTTTACCTTTTTTTTTTCTTTTTCCGGTAAGTATGACTCCGTCTTTTTTTTTCTTTTTTTTTTTTAGGAGGGTTTTAGACCCATTACAAGGTAACTAATCAAGGTAACCTGAGGAGTTGAGGAAGTGGCTAGTACGACTCAGTCTTTCGGCTGCGAGGATAAAAACACTGTTCTCAACTGTGCGTCAATTAAACCTGAGAATTCCGCTAGGCAAAACCTCTAGGATAAAGTTATTAGTAGTAAAGTTCTCTTCCTAACACCCGCATAATGCCAGTAGCACTTTTTGACACTAGTCTAGCACAAAAAACGTGAGAAAACAACTAATTGCTAATATTTATGCTAAAGTCAGTCACAAGTTCTCAGGTAAGGAATTTGAGCATTCAACTCAATCTCAATATTGAGACAAAAACAGAACCGAGGTACTCCCAACTGTTCTCTGGTTTCGTTGCCTGGACAGCATACACAACCTGAAGTCGCTAACGTACTCCAGCCAAGCAAAGGGAGAAAACTAGCTAGCATCTCTAGTCAAACTCATATTTTTTTCTGGTAATCACAAAGTTTGGTTGGGTTTGGACTCCGGTCACCACCACGGGTCAGTCATGCCTCAAGACCATAGGTCGCTTACCAGAGTTCATACATAAAGCCTACCAACACTCTAATTATATTAATCTCATCAAGTATGAAGCATCACAATTCACAAACACGTCCAATATGTTTAATCACTAAGTACAGCAAAGATAAATCCATAAACTTGAACAAAGTTTCAAACTCCAAAAGTATAATCCAACTAAATGTGAGATCGAAAGTCACCATAACGGTGAGATCTATTGAAATATGCATCCAGATTCAAAACTAACCATTAATTGTAACCAATTATACTTAGCCATAAAATAAGCCACATAGACAATTCACCACATGCCCATACTCTGAACTAGATTAGGAAGCACAAACCTTCCTCCAGCTCAACATGAATGAAAATCTCAATATCATTCAGTCAGTTTGGTGTACCTTTACAATCTAATAAAACATCACCACACTGCACAAAGATTCACTTCTCATTTCAAGACAGCGAAAGAACAGCAACACACCTGTCTTTGTCCTTGGATAACCAACCTTGCAGTACTGCTACAGTAGGTATCCAATATTCACCAATCAAAAATAACTAAAGACTGTCCAAACAATGGCCCATGAATAGATTGATGACAGATAAAATAAGCAGATAAATAGCCATTGCCCTTAACTGCAAAACAATATATAAGCTGGCCAGCATGAAGGACTAAATTTTGAATGCCATGATTATACAGTACTAGTGTATTTTAAGACAAGACATTGAACCATGTATGAGGAAGGATTACTTCAAAAAAATTTTGTTTACAGGTTCCGCTACACTGTCCAGATTGTGCAAAATCGTGTTTTCAGCAAATAACAGCCAAGAAAAGAAGAGATCGGACAAATGAAAAGCTGCACCTGCGCTCAGTTCAGGAACAATTATGCTAGCACAAGAAACTATAATTATACAGTAATCAAAAAAATAAATTTTAAAAAAATAATTGGCAGATAAACGAAATCTTTTCACGCATATAAAAGGTCATGCTCCAAGCCATTCACCAATCATGGAAAACACTTGCAGATTCCAGCAAATACTGCAAATAACATGGACCACTGCTCAGGAACTGATGTTTTCCTACTAAGTACACAATCAGTGCACCATTAAATGCTGTATTTAGATCCCATCAGTTACATGATTCTTAAATCAGTCATATTGAACAAGTACATACCTGAGAGGAAGAGAAAAATAATGAATCAGCAGATTGCTGATATACTTTCCAATTCAAACAAATATATACCAAAGAGGTACCAAACAGAACTGAAAATTGTTGTCATATGTTCGTAAAAGGATCATTTAGTTCGCAAACTTGGACGGAATTAAATCCAATAGGATCAAAACGAACCATAGATGCAAAAAATGTGAAACCCTTGCCCTACAATAATAAAGAAGAAACTACATAACACATGGAAATAATCAAACGAGGGAATACGCTGCATTCAAAATAAAACTCCACAATTTACAGAGATTCCAGCTAAAAGGTAAAAAGAAAATTATGATGTATCAGATCTAAAAGTATATTTTGTGAGTAGTAGGGTGGTATTCCGCTCTCATTATTGTTCAATTGTTCACTAACTAGCAAAGCATGTTAACATCACAAATCAAGAAGCTAAGTACAAGGGGTTGTTTTATTGGATCCTCAAACCCTGGCAGCAACTGCGGGAGCGGTGGCTGCAACGGTGGCATTGGAGGAGGCGCCAGTCAAGAAAGAGAGGAAGCCAATAGCAGGGGACTCTTGCTCATCAAGAAACAAATCCTCGGGAACCCTAAAGGCACCGTGCGCACAGACAATGGCAAGGCCGACCATGAGGGCCGACACGAGAACAGATCCAACGCTGGTGAGGAAGATGACAACGATGGTGGAAACGATGAGACCTACCAGGGTTTCGCGATCGGAAAATTGACGGCCGAAGAGTGTAAGGGGCGGATCTGAGGCGGTGCGGAAGAGATAGAGGAAAAGCCAGGCGGCAAGAAGGGCAGCGAGGAGGATGAGAGAGAGGGGGTTGGTGAGGAGAGAAACGGCGACGACACCGGTGATGACGGCGAGGTAATTGACGCGGAAGTAGGCGTAATTCTTGCGGATGCGTTGGGTGGCATCGGAGATGGAGTCAGGCTTGGAGAAAGCGGAGCGATCAACGAGCTCAGACCAGGGGCGGCGGCTGGCGAGGCCGTTGCGGACGGTATCGCTGATATGATTTATAAAAGCACGGAAGGCGGGAGGGGGTCCGGACGACTGAATGGAGTCGGTTGTGGTGGTGGTGGCGGCGGAGGGCTGAGGGTTGGTGATTGGAAGAAGGATGGCGGGCGACGAGGAAGCCATTCCAATTCCCAATTTCTGATCTGAGGCCTCTGCTACTTTTCTTCTCTTATTATTGTTATTATTATTTTAAAGGTGTGTTTCTTTTTCAGAGGGAGGGAGATATAGAGAAAAGGGAGTCTACGGAATCCGATTCAGGCTTCAGACATTAAAAAGTAAATTTAGCTCTTCCGCCTGCGCTACTAACTAAAGGGGGAATGGGATGAACTTTTCACCGTGGAGAAGGGACCGAGTAGTACTGATTAGCACCGGTAGTCAAAGAAATACTCTACCACGAAAACACAACACAAAACGGAATTGGTTGCTTAATCCGTACGTCAAAAAACACGAAAAGGAAGTTGTATAGAAATTTCGTCGGTGGATCTGGAATACGTCTGGATGGGATTTTTTTTTTTTTTTTTAATAATACGTCTGGATGGGAGTTTGGTATGCTAGAAACTATACACGTTTATAATGCAAGCAATTACGATAATACATTTTTGTGAACATATGCATCCTTTCCCACTTATACATCGCCCTAATAAATATCGCTGGAAAACTTTTCGTCTGGCAATTCTGCTAATAATGAAGTCATAAATAGTAGTATCTATTTTCATAATTCACAGTATTTTTTGGAACTAAAAGTATAAGACCTTATTTGGATTTCATTTTTCTAAATTTTTTGTAGTAAAATTACTGCAGTACCTTGATATATATATGAGATTAAAAAGTGATTAAAAAATTCGTTCCCGAAAAACTGCACGCAAGGGCTAGGAAGCTGCAAACGAATCGAGCCGCTCGAGCTCGAGCTCGAGCTCGATTAATAACGAGCTCAACTCGAGCTTGACTCGAGCCGCTCGCGGGCTAGGAAGCTGCAAACGAATCGAGCCGCTCGAGCTCGAGCTCGAGCTCGATTAATAACGAGCTCAACTCGAGCTTGACTCGAGCCGCTCGCGAGCGGCTCGAGTCAAGCTCGAGTTGAGCTCGTTATTAATCGAGCTCGAGCTCGAGCTCAGAATATTAAGCTCGTTAGCTCGAGCGGCTCGAGTCAAGCTCGAGTTGAGCTCGTTATTAATCGAGCTCGAGCTCGAGCTCAGAATATTAAGCTCGTTAGCTCGCGAGCCTTGGGTATATATATATATATATATTTTTTTTTTATTTAATAATAAAATTACGTATATTATATTTTTTTTTATTTTTTATTTTTATAGTAAAATTACGTATATATCCTTAATATTTTATTATTTATTAAGAAAAAAATATTATTTTATTTATAATTATTTTTTATTTTTTTCGAGCTCGAGCTCGAAATTTGCCGGCTCGTCGAGCTCGAGCTCGAGCTTGGTAAAATTTAGTCGAGGCTCGGCTCGATTAGCTCAAAGCTCGACTCGGCTGGGCTCGTTTGCAGCCCTACCGGCTAGCGTACGCGTGCAGCAAAGCACCCCCGTTGAATGGTTCTTCTACCAGAGTACCATACGCTGGTCTGACTCACTCTACAACTCTGTAGAATGAGTATGCACTGACGTACTCATCCCAGAGGAAGGCTACCTAAAAAATATCAACTAATTCCATTCAGATCTGCATGATGTAGCATTAATTCACCAGCCTGCGCCATGTGCTCAAGAAATAAAAGTGAGCCACATATTTCTGAACAGCATTGAGATGCATCTAGTGATTGTTCAAACCGATCTCAAAATATCCAGTATATTAAATTGCATACTTCTCTAAAGATGGATGCTCTGGAGCATCAACATAATCTGCTTGGAACATAATACAAGTACTACTACACAAACATTGAAGATGCATATTTTCCAAATTCTGAGCCCCGTGGTCAACAAGCTCAACATTTGCAAATACGGAACCTAGAAGGTAGACCCATTCCATCCAAAGTTGGAACTCTGCAAAAATTAAAGCGGCAGCCCTTCAGTACCATCAAAGTGGCAAAACAGAGTAGCCAAGAGACACTTGTACCACATTTTGGTGGAAAATCAGCATTTTCAGAGATTGAAAAGAAAATGGAGGAGAAAGTTGATTCATGGTGCAGAGTAACAAAAGTTGATTACATGACCTAGTACTGGTGTAAAGCATGCAGACACTGTGCATATTCTTGACTCTGATGGGCCTAAACAACAAGGAAGAATGCAATAAGAATCTACATGCTTGGGATTTGACCATTTTGCTAACAATTTTGAAGGCTAAAATTGCTTACCTTGGTGTCACAGAATTTCAGGAAGAAACGCGACTTTGGCACATTAAGCTTTGTCTCAAGAATGTTGGAAATTGCAGCACTCAGCTTCTTGTTCACATCAGGGTTGAGTCCCCCAATAGAAACCAACTCACCATAGGCAGTTGGCTGCTCAGTTCCACCAAATGACATGGGTACAGACCCCTTCAACACAATCATAACATACTGCAGGATTACAGGTGCAACGAAAGATTAATGCCATAATGGCCTAATGGAATTCAAGACACTATTCCAGCCACCACAACGTACTTAAGTGTAATCCTTTCATTAGTGGATAGTTCAAAACCCAGAGATATAGAAACATAAAATTAGCTATGTCACTCAATCTGCCAAAATAGATGATTGCACGTGTTGAAAATGCTGCCAATAGTCAGACCTAAGGCATATTCACTCCACCCCAACCCCCCTTCAAAAAAAATTTTTTTTTGGGGTTGGGGGTGGAGGTGGGCGGAGGGGGGATGTTGGGGGGACAAAAGGACAAAGTTTGGGGGTGGAACAAAATACCTTGTTTATAAGTTTTCTTTGTGTGTTTTTTTTTTTTGGGGGGGGGGGGGGAAGGGTCTGATAACAACCGACGACAACAATGAGCCCTTCACCGCAAGACAATTGCAAATCCAATTATGTTCATTGGCCCAAAAGTCACACAACATAAAGCACAGAAACTAAAAGATACGAGAAAATGTACAACACACAACAGAAGTTGTTCATAACTTCTCAATCTTGGATATCCTTCAAGGATTTGAATCCACTTCGTTTTCCTAAAAGTAAATAAATAAACCACAAAGCATGTTCCCAACAATATGAAAAGCATTTTAATGGGCATTACTTACATCTAGTCCTCAGATGATCAAAGCATTGTACAGACAAGAATGAGTAATAACGATTATCAAGACAAGTAAAAAGACACCAAAACTGAGGCAGTTTTTACCGAATTAAACTCTGGACAACCTAACATGCACAATCAAATTAATGCATGCCCCAAATCTCCTCATCACAAAATCAGCAACAAGCAATCCCATCTTGAAGAAATTAAAGGCGTTAGGGTCAAAGAAGTTAGTGAAAATGCGAATATTCATCTAGGCAATTTCCAATTGAACAGGAATGTCAAAAACCCAGAGTAAAGAATTTAAAGGACAAAACCCAGTTTGTGTTGAAAATAGGTTATCTATCGACTTATACCCCAAATATTATGTCCTTAATCATTTAATTAGAGATATATTGGAACTGAACCCTTAATTCAAGTATAAGGGCTGTAAAAATCAAAACCCACCAGCAAAATAAACGATTGGAACTGTGAGAGAGAGAGAGATCGGAACTAAAATGAAAATTGTAAAGAAAGAAGAAAAGGGAATCAGCATCAAAGAGACGCGCTAGGAAAAGGATACATGTACTAAAAGGACAGAAATGGAGAGAGGATGGTTAAGTAGGAATATATACAGCCTCAGGCTTGCCGACGAGTTTGGCAACAGTAGAGGTGGCCTCAGACAGAATGGCGGAGGTGTCAACGCCCTCCAGCTTGACGTTTGTGGACAGGTTCAAGCACGGCATTTTCCTCTTCTCTGCGACCGCTATCCGCTGCGATTTCAACAAAAGACACCCTTCGTCCCCTCACTCTCTCGCTCTTCCCCCACCCACAACTGCCCCTACTATATACGGATTATCGATTACGTACGGAGTCCCCTTGTGCCAATTCCCCTTCCTCCCCATGTCCCATCTTTATTTATTAATTTTTCCACCAATTGCACTGTTTTCGGTTTGTGTTTGGGTTTTTTTTAAAAAGAGTTTTCTCTCTCTTTAGTGTTTTTCTTGTGTAAGTAGGAGAGTTAAAATACAATAATACCTCTTACATACAATCTCTCTTCTCTTATCGTCCAATTTATTGGATTCATTTTGTATTATATTGTTATTTTTCTTTTATAACATCATTTTTAATTCTTTTTTATTTCATTAAAATTTAATAAATATTAAATGAATAAAAAATAAATACAACAATCCCAGAAAATCAATATATAATAGAAAATTAAAAATATAGTAGAAAATTCATTAAAGAAATCTCATTTTTGTGTATTTTGATTTTTTAAATTTGTTAAATTTTGTATATTACTCAACCAATAGTTGTTGAATTATAAGAAAACAAAAAAAATTAAAGTATGGTGTTTCTAAAAGAGAAATAGCAATATAATAAAAAGTAAGTCATATGGTAGCATAAAAAATGGAACCGAATATCTGTTGCGTCATCCAACTTTTCCTTGGTTTGAGTTTGGGTTTGATATATATATATATATATATATATATATATATATATATTATTTATTATTTATTTTAATAGTAAAATTACATATACATCCCTAAAATTTTATTATTTATTAAGAAAAAATAATTATTTGTTGTTTTCATTAGATTAATTTCCAAAAACTAGAGCTAACGAGTTGCTCACGAGTCAGAAATTTGAACTATGTTACAAGCTGATAATTCGAGCTGCTAGCGAGCCAAAAATCGAGCTATAGCTCACGAGCCTTGCCCACTCGAGCTCGAGTCTAGCTTTTCTTTGGTTGAGTTGAGTTCGAGCTCAATTTTTCTTGGCTCGTTGAGCTCAAACTTGAACTCGAGTCTACGTGTTATAAAGTCGAGCTTAACTCGATATGTCCAAAACTCGACTCGACTCGCCTCGTTTGCAATCCTAACGTGAACTAGTGGTCCTTTTATTTATTTTAGCAATTAAATTTCTTTACATTTGTTACCCAAGGAAAAAAAATTAGAAAATTTCAAGCAATCCTATCATGTTTTTCTTTTTTTCCCCCATATTTTTCTTCATCTTTTTTTTTGTGACTACGGCATTGACAAGTGTCAAGTCTGTGCAATAATAAATATCTACTCAAATAAAATATAAATTTTGAATACAGTGGTAAGTAGGATTAAATCCACAGAGACAAGGGATTTTTCGTTTCTTATAGAGTTAAGAATATGGGGAGTTTTTATAAAAATAACTAATTATCTAAAATAAAAACAACTCACGGAAATAAACATGAATTAATCAACAAGAGATACGACTCTAACCAAAAGTGCAACTTTTCAGACATGATCCATTCCACTGATTATCAATACAAAGATAATTCTAACATTTGTCAATAAACAGGTTTTTAACCGTCGATACGATCTGACAACTAGTTTCTCATTATTATTTTGATAGCCAATGTACGACCATAACTATTTCTCTAATTCAGAAATAACCATATACACGATCATATGATATAATTTTCTGATTGCATTAAAAATCAGAGAAATCCTGTTCTAATTAATAAACACGTTACAAGGGTTTATTTGAATTAGATTGTATGCTTTCCTGATACAAATCAAATTATGTCAGTTACTCCCGGGATCAGAGTAATCAAACAATTACGGATTCATCTACCCCAATTAGCAAATATATTACATGAACAATTAAATATTGCGCAACTATTCAATCATACACAATAATCATAGTCACGTAAAGCAGAAAACATACAAATATCAATAAATGAAAGAAGCAATTAAAATAATTCGATATCATAGATATTTAGAACTGCGTCTTCAAATTGGTTTTTGACTAAAAAATAAAATTAGCTCCTCTCTATTGAGAGTAACTCACGCAATCTCATTGAAGGAAATTGCATCAACGTTTTTACAAAAGAAGCCAAACAAAGAAGATGACCAGGCGAAGAGAAAAGCCAAAGCGGCTCCTTCTAATACTTCAAAGCGTCCCGGTTCTCCCCTTTTAGATGGTTCCCTGGCTTCTGTATCAATCAAATGGGAATCTGGCCCTCTTTTTCTCGTTTCCTAATTGAAGTCTAACGCTTCGGCCGTCCATTAGCCAACCAAAATTAGAATTCTAATTGTGAAAGGAAACTTCCCCACCTAATGCTAATTGTTCCCTAATAAAATATCTAAGAAACACGGTAATTTTCTAATCTTCCACCAATAATCCACGTCGAGTCCATCTTGAATTGAAAAATTCTTGAAAAATCACTTTTTTTTATATCACTTTTTGTTCCACTTTCATACAATTAGCACCAAATATCAAATATAAGTTGAATCCATCAATTAATACAATATTTGGTAAAATAAAAGAGAAAAATAATCACAAAAATGCAACCTACGAGACATATTGTGGTCAGTGGGCTTTTTTCCTTCAATTATTTTATTGATTACACTTATAATAGACACCTGGTTTTAACATAGCAAAACAAAAGACTTAACATGAATGGGAAGGGATAGCGTATTTAACTTTAAAGTTCACTGGATAATTTGAACTAGTAATCGGGGCGCATTTGATGCGTGTGCACTTTCTGAAATATGTGATGCTTTAAGAAATATGGACAATGTGTAAACATGAAAGGAGAAAAAAGAATAAAAGTTTATAAAAATAAAAAAAAAAGAATTATTCAATTAAAATGAAAACCACGATTATTTATCAATAGTAAAAGGGAGAAGTGCTATGGTAGATATATAGTAGTAGTTTTAGAGTGTCTCAAATATCATCGGATAAATCCGGAGCTTTAGATAAACATGAAAAAAAATCAAATTAGAGGAACTGCATTAACGTGGAAAAAAAAAAAAGATGCCGTTTTAAGTTTATAATTATGGCTATATTGTAACCATTTTGCCCTTAATAATAAGGGTAAAATTGATAATCTAAAAAATAACGTATTTTGTTAACACCAAATTCAGGCTCTGTAGTCTGTATGTACTTAGTGGCCTAAACGCCCAATTAGTTGGACCGATTTATGTATTTGTTAGGTGATGTACGATCATACAAATGAGAATTCTTAGAGTTTGTGAACATTCGGCTAGCCCAATGATTAGATTTTGTTACATCTCGGATCCAAGGGCTGGCTCTAAGTGCGTTTAATGATTAGATTTTGTAATTACCGGGCTAACTCGTTAATTGGAATTTGTGATGTCTTGGACCCAAGGACTCGCCGAACAACTTTTCGGCTAGATTTACGTACGAGTTCAAAATAATTGACTCAAGTTATCTAGTAATTCACGGGTTGAAACTTATAAATTATTCTTTTCTTACCCATATCCAAAATTGGCAGACGTGTTTTTATTTTGCAGGGAGTTTTTTCTTTTTCCCCTTTTTACACAAAAGACATTAGATATTTTGTTACAATGTTCATAAGGGCGTAAATATTGATACAGGGAGGCAAGTTGTAGCTGTATATATATATATATAGAAAAGATCATTTCATTCGAACAAATCTACGTCAAACAAACATGACATAGATACATATAGACATGAAATCAATAGATTTTTAAAAATACAAATAAAGATAAAATTAATACTTCTATATATTTTGCATCCGGATGAATCATTGTAATCCAATGCAGGGAAATTTAGATGCGACAATAATAAAGAAATTGTAAATCTGAAAAACTAGATTCTAGGTCTACAACATCTCAAATTTCATAAAGATAAAAATTTAAAAAAAAAAACCAGAAAACCCATAAGGGAATAAAAGTCTCGCTAGAACAACATAGAAGAGAAGAAATGATGATGTACTGGGAGAGAAGAATCTCTCGTTAGGAAATTTTAGGAGAAAATTTATTTAAATAAGAGAAACTAAAAACTATAAAGAGTACTGGTCTCTCGTCTGTGAAAGAAAGAGATGAAGAAGATCCTGACGGAGAAGGGAGAGAAAAGAGTTTTAGAGAGGGAAGTAAATATGGTTTTAGGGAGGGAGGCAGGCAGGCAGTCGAAGAGCAGAAAATGCAAGGGAAAGGGAGGTTCACAACTTGGACTGGTTGCGGCCCATTGTCGTGTCATAAACCTTGAGGACGAATCGGGTTCTGGGAATGGACAATTTGGTCTCCAGGATGGTGCCGATGGCCGCGATCAGCTTCCTTTTGACTTCCCTGTTGATTCCACCCATGGATATAATCTCCCCAAGCGCAGCAGGTTCTTTGTTTCCGCCGAAAGATATCGGCACCGAGCCCTTTAGCAGGACCATCACAAACTGTGTGTGTTTTAGAAAACCAATTTTAAGTCATCCCAACGAAATTGAGGCCAAAATAAAATAAATGCTTGTTCCCAAACTGTGCAGTAAATTTACATCCCATGTTTTCTTTTGTAGTAAGCATATTAAGTTTGTGGTAAGAAATCAATTTTCAGGCGTAAATTTATTAATTTGACAATAATATATTACTAGCGCTTATCCCACTGATCATACAGAGCCATCGGTAGTCTTGCGAGTCACAACCTGCTGGTTTTCGCAGTCATTTTATTTTCAAGAAAAAGATGTGTTGAATTTTTTATTTGTGATGCAAGCAAAAAAATAATAATAATTTTTTTTTTCAAATCATTCCTATCCAAAAAACAAACTGGAAGATATCTTTCTTCAAAGGCAATAATAATAGAGTTCGACCAAGATAAAGGCTTTGTTTGGATTGGGCTTTATTTCTCAAAATTTATTTGTTTACATCATCATTACAATTTTCAATACACCTTTTTACTTTCCCAATTACCTTTTTATCTCACATACATCAAATCACAAAAAATGCTACAATAAAAATATCTCTAATAATTCACAATCCAAACAGGTACCTATAAAGAGTAAACAGCAAATAAATAGAGGAAGGCATGTAAAAGGTGCAATGATTGTGTCACCACTATTGCCGGCTGGCAGTTCAATTGAATAGGAGAAAGCGACGCCAACCTGATTAGAGAACAGACTGATAATGAATGCTCCTACTGAAAAGTATTTATTTAAAATGAGGAATCCCGATATGATTTTTCAAGAAATGGGCCAGTGCTCTATGAAAAGGACCCCTTCAAGTACGACTACCACATCCACCGGCGGCCCAATGGTTGTGCCGTAACATTTTATTAATCTAGTTAGATCTGTATACCCACTAATTTCTTGTCACAGTCTTCTTAGACTTTTTCTCCCCCTATATTAAGATAGAGTAGATTATACAAATGTATCGTTGCTAATAAAAAGAAAAAAAGTCCGACAACCACGTCGGGATTTGATTTTCCATGCAACTGAAGAGCAGTTATGAGGAACAAACATCACAACTGAATTCAAAGAAATTTCACTTGCAAAATAAAATGGTTTGTCATCATGAGTTTTTCATTTACTCCCTCCTCCGTTTCAATTATTTAATCATTTTTAGGAATTTAATTTTTTTAAAAATAACAATTTAATTGTTATGTTTGTACTTTTCTTTTTAATTGTATCTCTATAAATGTAAAATTTAGATTTGAATGTTAATATATACATATGATTAAAAAGAAATATTATATTGAAAATAAAATATACTTTAATATTTTTAACCTGACAAATTTTTTAAAACATCTCAAAATAAAAAAAAATATATGATATTTTCAATTGGACGAAAAGAGTATTTATTTATTGCAACGTTGCGCCCACCTACACCATCTTGTCTTCTTCTTCAATCTTAACGGGACGACAAAGTCGCACATTACTCCCCACCCTTTTTTCAATTCTCCTTTCTGTAACATCAGCTGAATGAGAGACGAAGGAAGCAAATTTGGCTACGTTTATGGACGGGGACGGACTTGCTTTCGGCTTCGCAATCTGAAACCGTCTGTCAGATTTTCGTACACACCACTATGCCTTTTTTCTTTTCTTTTTCGTGATTGGAAACGAAAATGATGCCGCACCGGAATCCCTATGGTATTGTCTGGAAAGGACATAGGCAGATTTTTGGTCTGCAAAGTCTTGAAGCAATTTCAACTATCAACTAAAGCCTAAGAAACCCATTATTGTTTTTTTTTTCAAAAAAAAAAAAAGAAGAAACGAAGAAAGGCTATCTCAACAAAAGAAGCGAACCAAAAAAATCCGGATAAAATTAGAACCATACAAAAAATTTTGTTGAAAGAGAAAAAAGAAAACAAAAGCAATTTAGCATACACGAAGAATATTAAGCTAGGCCAACAAAAAAGCATGACCCTTGCAAAACCTGTCATGTCAATGCAGGATTCCAAAACAGCTTGAGCAAATTCTTAGCAATGGCCTGCAATTTCTCCATGGCCCGAGGAATTGTACACCCCTATCTCGATGCTCAAGGCCAACCGCAACACGATTTATAGTACTTGATCAATGGGCACAAAAAGTGGTATTGTAATTTGTCCATGACAACACCAAAACTCTTCAGCAAGGACTAATTTTTAAAGTCTAAGTTGAAACTAGAGGTGTTAAAATAGATAATTCGAACGGATTTGGATCGATCATAATCAGGCAATGATTATAATTGAATTAATCCGTTTATATTTATTTAGTAAATGGATATGAGTATAGTCAATCACTCATTTATTACTCACTTAAAATTCTACTCTTTTTTTAAAAAAAAAATTTTTTTTTACATGTTATTTGATAAAAAATAACGATATTATTTTGTTATTAGATTCATAAAATATTTAAATCTATCTATTTAACCACCACTAGAAATTGAATTTAAAAGGGACGAGTCGAGTCAATTTATTACTCACCAATTAAGTAAATTCAATTGAGGACGCACTTAGCAAATTTGAGCAAGTTATTAATAGACAAGTGGTGTTTCGCAGAACCTTGTAGAACAACCGCACTCATTCTCGTCATCAAAGGACATGGTGGTCTGCTAATATCCCCCTGCTAACAACCAACCCGAAAACAGGACAAGAAATCAAGAATATGGAGAGAAGGATGGCCTAGTTGGTAGAATCGCAGTTAAAGCTTTTATGCAAGGAAGGGCAAGCTAGAATAATATCGCATTACCGACACACAGGGGTCCGGCTCAAGAAAAGGAAAAAAGTAAATAAATAAAAGGTTGGTGTCTGACTCACACAACACGAAACAGGCTAAGTGATTAGCAAGCAGAGCAAAGAGGAAGGGAGATTAGCTCTTACAGTTTCGGGTTTTCCCATAATTGCAGCGACAGTTTTGGTGGCTTCAGAAAAGACAGAGTCTAGGTCGACTCCATTTAGGTTGACGTTGGTAGAGATATCAAGGCAAGGCATATTCTTCCTGCTCCTGCTGCTGCTGCTGCTGCTGCGTGTGAGAATGGGAACGGGGGATGCCTTGGACCTTAAATTTTATGAAGAGCGGGTTGAAAGAAATGAAAAGATACCGCCGTTTCCGACCGTTCTCGCCCCTACTTTATAGTACTGCTTCCTGTACGATTAGTAGTAGAGTTTGATATCTGGATCTGGTGACTGGTCACCTGTTCTTGGGGTAACAATTAATAGCATCCCTCTGTACCCGATTTTCTCCCACCACTGAAACTGTTTGATTCAGGCAAATGTACGTTAGGACAAAGGAGAAGAAGCGTTTCTTCCTCGGATTGCGGCTTGTGCGGGCGATCAGATTAGTTTCTTTTGTTGCTTCCCACTTGCCAGGGATACCCTTTTAACGTAGTGGCAACCACAAAATCCACTGTAGTAAACTTTTTTTTGTTCTAATCATATGGTATGGGACTACTTTTTTATCCTCAACCTCGAGGCATAATCTTTTTTCTTTTTGCCACTACCCAATCCCTAACCCTAATTCCCACCCCCACCTATATTTAGACGTCTCTCTACATCTTTCCCCCTTAGCTTGCCTACTAGGGCCACTTCCCAATTTTATTTCCTTCTTCGCCTCTTGTGTGTCTTGGTCCCTCCCCAGTCATCCATCCAGCACGATATTCATTACTATCGCGTGAAACCTACTATCAATACAATTCCTCCGACTTTTATAGGCGACTTATGAATTATTCGCACAATTAAAATCTATCAATTAGATCGCGTGAAATCTACCAGTCACACAATTCTTTCCATTACTATCACATGAAATCTACGTATGATTATTATTCACAGAGCTCTTCCTACTTTCATAAGCAACTTATGAATTGTCCCGTGAATTGGTCAATAACCAATTAAAAGTTACTTGAATTTTTTTAAATCCCAATTTAAATTTTCTTTTTAATTTTTTGTTTCTTCTTTTAATACCAATTTTAATAAAAACTCCAGTTTATTCGCCAAACCCAAAAAAAGAAAGAGAATTTATGGGTATATTTGTCCATTTATAATTAAGTTGGATCTAAATATATCTTTTTACGTGAATTATAAAATGCTTTCTTATTTGACCGTTAGTCCAAGGACTTAAGTGACTAAAAGTTAACGTTATGGGACTAAACTGATAGTTGGGATGTAGTTTAAGGAGGTAAACTGATAAAAACCCTAAAACATATTGAGCAAGGACTAAACTATACCCCAACTATTATTAGTTAGTCCAATGACCTAAGTGACTAAAAATTAATGTTATGGATTAAACTGATAGTTGGGATATAGTTTAAAGGGGTAAACTGATAAAAACCCTATGTTTTTTAAAAAAAAAAAAAAAAGAAAGAAACCATGAATGACGATTCATTTGATTTTGCCATCCAGTTTATAATTTTCAGCCTTCAAGATTTTTCCTAATCAAACATTGTATCCATCATTTCCATTCTTCTAATTCCTGACTTCAAAGTGCGACGGCGACGCCATCTCCTTCTCTAGTTCGAATTTGATAATTCAACTTAGGCTCCGTTTGATAACATTGAATTTGAATTATGAATTCTGAATACTGAAATAATTAATTTGCTGAATTTTAAGCACTGAAAAGAGATATATGAATGTCTGAATCTTAATGTTGAATCTATTTATACTGTTTGATAAATATTCATAACTTAATACTTAATAAGTTAAATTGTACAATTTTGCCCTTCTATCTTTTAATCAAAAAAAGAAATAGAACCTATGATTTAATTAATTTAAAATTGTTAGGTATGAAAATAACAATGATTGTGAAAAGCAATGCATACAATGACAATGTCTCTTTGTGTGGGAAAAGGGTATGGTTTCATCATTTTGAGAATGGGAAAACGAGCTTTTAATACTCCAAAAGCACGTTCAATTACATTTCTCAATCTTACATGTGCTTGGTTAAAGCGTTCTTATTTTGATCTTGGACGAGAAGCATTTCGAAAATCAGACAACCAATATCTAATATTTCGATATAGTGTCATAAAGTCACGTGTGTGTGGATAAGCTACATCACATAAATAATATTTATCTGCACAATATATATATATATATATATATCAAAATATAAATGTTTGTGGATGAAAATTACTGCAAAAAAATACTATTGTTAAAAAAAAATTTAAATAGAGAATATCAGCTTGTTTTGTTTAATTAGATAAGGATTTTGAATAGGAAATATTATGTTGTTTAATTAGATAAGGATTTTGAATGTAATTAACAAACAGGAATATTTTTTGTAGATAAGATAAAGTAGTTAAAGTAAATCTCTTGATTCTTATCAAATTAAACATTCAGCTACGATTCTTGGACTAAAAAATATATATACAAATTCAGCACCACTTAATAAGTTTGACAGGTAAAATTTTATTTATCAAACACCCACAACATCTGAATGTCTGAATGAATTCAATTTCAATACTTTTTTATGTTATCAAACAGGCACTTAATCGGGGTCAAACTCCTTCCTGTTGAGTTTTGGCCGGATCTAACTTTTAAGCGAATTGATCCATTTGCAGCCCCAGTGCCATAGCATCACTGTATTTACTATTAGTGATTGATGATTCATGCCACCTACGGAAGGTTGTGGTACAGATGGATATGGAAACCTGCGATTACCGGTCGGAATGGGTAGCGTCACTACCTGTCTGCTGCTATTTATGGGCCTCTTGGCATTAGAGATGCCATGCCCGAAACCAGAAGAAGAAGGTAAAAAGGGGGAAAAAAAAGAGAGTAAAAACCCACAATCGCGTGATATATTATACAGTTGCGTAAAACTGACGATGCCCGATCGAGTAGAAGAAATAGGTACACTAGCAATGGTCATAAAATCGGGGGGGAAAAAAAAGCTAAAAAGTAAAATCCCGGAGTGAATTTTGAGATTGAATGGGCGTGGTTGGGGCTGATGGTGATGGAGCAGCGTCTCCTGGCCGACGCCCAATTCCTACTGCTGGGCAGCCAAACGCATCCCCGCCTTCTATCCTCTCCCCATTCCGCCTTGCAGCCACTGCTGCCTCTCATTACAAGCCCCGGCGCCTCCCTTCCCACCCTATCCTCTCTCCTCAAAACCCTAACTCTTCAGCTCCAGTGCACCACCACCACCCACCTCCCCCGAATCGTACTCGCCCTCCTATCTGCCCTCTCTGACCACCATCCCGACCTCCGCCGCGAAATTTCCCTCGCTGTCCGTGCATTCGCCCTCCGCCTCCTTCCTTTCTCTCCATCTTCCTCCTTCGCTCATTCCCTCGCCATCCTCTTTAAGGATGCTGACACTTCCAGTGATGTCACCGACGAACCGACGTTCCTTTCCATTTGCTTTCGCCCGTGTAAAGCTTCCTTAAGGCGCTGGCTGCTTCAGAATGTGGATAAATTTTGCGTCAGGCCGTCGGTGTTGATCGCGGTCCTTTTAGGGTTCACCAAGGATCCGTATCCGTTAACCAGGAAAGCCGCCCTGGATGGTTTGGTTTGGCTCTCCGATAAGTTCGTTGCGGTGGAGGATCAGAGCCTGCTTCAGTGTTGCTATTTTTCCGCCGCTGAGCTTCTCTTTGATGCAGAGGATTCCGTCAGATGCTCTGCAGTTCGCACTGTAATTTATTCTTCATGATAATTCAAGCACTTACTATTTTGTCAACTTGATAGTTGTTCTTTCTCAAACTATTATCATTTTGGAATTTGACAAATTTTTATTTTTATTTTGCTAATAACTTCCTTTTATTGTTATAATACTCTTAGGTTAGCGAGTGGGGACTGTTACTTGTGGAGTCCAACCAAGACAAGTGTAAAATTGATTGGTCTGATGCTTTGTTTGTTCAGGTGGGTTTCTTTATACAATTTTCTTTTCTTCTTCCTTTGTTGTTAATATAAATTGGACAATGAAAATGATATTGATAGTTTTACAAGTATAACTAAGCAGTCTGCAGCCTGCATGTTCGACAATCTTTTGTTGGTGGTGTGGGCCGAATGGCATTATTTGATATCTTATTCATTGCGGATCTTTCTCACTATTGTGATCACATGTTATAGCTTTGCTCAATGGTGAGGGACATGAGCATGAAGGTCAGAACTGAAGCTTTTGATGCCCTCGCAAAGGTTCCAATGGTTTCGCAGAATGTTTTATTGCTGACACTAACTAAGAAAGCTACATCCGCCACAAAAGAAATAACTTTTCCAGGCCGTTACGCTGCAAAAATATGCAAATTGCCAGCATCAGCCGCAGCTTTTGCTTTTATTCATGGCCTGGAGGATGAATTCTTTGAGGTAAGGCTTACATGCTCTGTTCTTGGTCCTTACAACTTCAGGAATAAAGCATATGCTGCTCACGCCTAGCATCTACCTCATAGTGAGTCCACCATGCCCTGTTTTTCACTGATCAGAGGAATTTTGCTGGAAAGGATGTCTAATTACAACAATATTTGCTTGCATTGAAGGTAAGAAGATCTGCGTGCTGTGCCTTGCGTACATTCGCCATTGCTTATGGTGATTTTGCATGCGAGGCTGTAAATCTCTTGATGGATATGCTTAATGATGATTCAGTGGTTGTGCGTTTACTAGCTCTGGAGACGATGCATCATATGGCCATGTATGACTGCCTAAAAGTTCAAGAAGGACACTTGCATATGGTAGCTTTCCATCCCTCCAAAGTCATTGTGTTTATATATCTTCAGTGGTGTATGGGATTAGTGGTTTTCATCTTTCAGTTTTTGTTAATGCCAGACAGGAGCATGTACCTCAATTTACCCTGCCTGTATAATATTAGATCTAGGATTAGGACTTCTTTTGCTTGACTTCTATTGCTGATATTGCATTTATGCAGTTTTGTCAAAGGCTATCTGCAGTTTGATATGATAGTGCCCTCGTACTAAATGGGGGTCTTGGCTGGAGAGTCTGCAATTTTACTGTTTGAAACATAAGCTGTGCACATTTTGCTGTTCATCCACTATTTATGTATTTTAGACGCATCATGTTAACTTATTTACGTACATTTTCTTCAGGAAGGCTGCTTCTGATTCACTGATGTCATGTCCAATATAATCTTTGCAGTTGCTAGGGGCTCTAGCGGATGACTCTACCTTGATAAGATCTGCAGCAATGAAAATTCTTCAATTAATCAGATTGCACAAATTGGCAATGTTTAAGTTATGTTTTGAAGGCCTTGTGAGAAACTTGGAATTGTATCCACAGGTAATCTCATAAAGAGGCTTTTCTTCCCTTGGTCATGACTGGCTATGTAGGTTGTGTGGTGTAATTTCAAAACCTTTCTATATCATCTGCGTCTAGATTGCTACTTAAACTAACGCAGTTATTAATTTAAATAATCCCCAATAAGGTATTGATATATGGATTTCTTGCTATTTCACCTTATCATTATCTTGTCTTTCTTATAAGCCTTTCATTTGCTAATCTTTCAGGATGAAGCTGATTTGCTTTCTGTTTTGCTCAATATTGGGCAAAATCATGGGTGGTTTGTCGCCCACCTTATCCAGGAAAATACAGAAAAGGTAACAATGTTGTTCGTATATTGTGCTACAAATCCTCAAATTAATTCTATATTACTCAGTTTTGGTCGTCATACTTTTCTAACATAATCTGTGCTTACAATGTTGGAATGCTATTGTTGACTTGGATGTGCTATGCCATGGTATCATGAGATAAAAAAGGTCAAGTACTGTAGCTTTTCTCAAGTTGTTACCTGTGCATGAGTACCTAGTCTCTCTCTCTCTCTCTCTCACACACACACGCACGCACACACACACACACGTATTTATGGGATTCACACTTTTTTCATAAAGTCTTATTAAGCTAAGTGGAATTAGTAATAAAGCAATATAATGTCTTTTACTCGCGGTGACATATATTCCTGTTGCAAATGCATGGCTAGCATTATGCATGCAGATTAAGGGGTTTAAGCGTTTGCAAGGGTTTGTCTCACTAGTACTGCTTATGCTTCATGTTGAAGTTTCTTGCTGTAAAGGTTGAAAATCTCTAATATGACTGCTGCAAATATGAATTTAATAAGATAGTAATCTGCAGTACTTGTATTTTAAACTTTGCTTGCCAAAGACAAACTTCTGTTTGATTGTTGATCTCATACAAAATATGTCAATGTGCTGATAGTCATGTATGCATATGCATCAGATAGAACCTTCTGTTGGAGGGAGATTGGGATTTGAGAGCGCAAGAATTGTTGCCTTGTTGGTGCTGGCCATCTCTGCCCCAGTCTCAATTGAACGAGGCATATGCAGTATTCCACTGAGGATGTACTCTTATGCAGTTACTTTACTGGGGAGAATTTCTGATGCTTTGATTGGTACTTTGAACCAGAATGACCTTCTGTCTCATCTTTCGCGTTGCAGCCGATTCTCATGTGTTTCCAGTTCTGAGTTTTTCAGAGGAGAAGAGTCAGCTGTCCCTCTGGTGAAAAGTGATACGTCCTTGTATCCAAAAAATGATGGGATTCATGGAAGTTGTTCTCAGAGATTACTGGAACTAGAGAGAGCAGTGCATCCAATTGCTAATTACCCTCTAAAAATGCATGATGAAATGGAAAGTTCTATGGGCAATATCCTTCAAAAGATTCACAGCCTTTGGCCATTAATACGCTGTGGATTTGCAGATGAAGCAACTAGAACTTTAAGGTGGTAATTTTATCGTTCTCTGCTTTCATTGGGGCATAATTATGAGACTTAACAGATTTCTTACTTGCATAGAGAACTTTTTTGGTAGATGGTTGGCTCCAGTCTATTTATCAAAAGGCACTCCTGTCTTAACTTGGGAAAGGAATTATGCCATCAAGATTGTTACTGTTGGCAAATGGATGCATATTATATGCCCCCGCATGGTCTGCTACATCACTGTTTTAGCACTAGATTAAATGTTTGCTCATTCAATATTCTAAGCTTTTGCACAAAATGGCAGCCATACAGTGGAAAATAGATTGAACACACACATGACGCTTATGTATTAATTAACAAATTTCCATTTATCCTGTCCTGAGTTTAAAGTTGATACTTGTAAACAAGCTGTCACGTGTCCTCCTTGCCCAAGCACATACTGCATTCTAGATTATCTCATATTGGTACATCACTGATATGCTTCACTTGTTGGCTCTTGTAGGAGTTGGAAGAAACAGTTGAAGACATTTACTTGTATTTCATCCGAACCCACAGCCGAGTTAGTTTTTGTTTTGCAATATCTGCGCATGATAAAACTGCTTGGAAGGGTATGGATCCGCTGTATGTTTCCTTTGAAGCCCTGCTTTGGGGTGAGGAAATTGGAAGTCTTATTTAGAAAGTTGGAAAGGAGCCTGAAAGAGATGAAGTATAGGTTCCTAGGTTTTAGCAGCGAGCAGGAGTTGCATATTTTAGAGCTAATTCTTGTTACACTTATATTGAAGTTGTCCAATGTCAAAGCCTGCTGTCCAAGTACTAATTTAAAGGAAATAAGTTCTGTAGTTACTCATGTTGAACATCTTGTTGGAGGCAGATCAGTTGAACTCTCCAGCTTTGTGATAGAGCTTCAGAAGATACTGAGGGAAATTGGTCCCTCAACGGCTGTCCTTGAAAATGCACTTCTGCTCCAAAAGTCACTTGAGTACTACACTTTGAGGCAGTTTATGTTTTCTGGAATGCTCGTACATGTGGTAGCTAAACTGGATGTGTACAACAACTACGAAAATCCTCTCCATTACGTTTTAGGTCTCCCTGTCGGCATACCAATTGAAATTACTTTGCGTAACATCTCAAGGGAAAGTCGCATGTGGCTGAAGATGACTTTTAAAGAGACGCTAGCTCAGTTTGTTTACCTGGATTTGCATGGACCAAGCGGGGGTGATGAACGTCGACAATTTACATTTGTTGCACCCTTTTATGGACCCCCTAAAGCGAGGTCCTTCTTACTGAAGATTAGCATTGGAATGGAATGCTCATCTGAGCCTCCTTACCGGTCGAATGTTTGTGGGGGACCGAAACACGAGCTTATTAATATTTCCGGAGATAGTGAAGTGTTTCTTGCTAGGGTTGGTGGATAGAGATTCAAGTTGTATATGGTTTCAGCAAAGTGAATAGCAGTGCATTTTGTGGATTTCTGCTGTTCAGCAAGCAAGAATTAACGGATTATTTTATTGCTGAATCTTCAGATGTTATTCAGCCTGTATTGCAATTGCCATTATTTTAGAGAAATTTTTACGTTGTTGTGAAGTGACTAGATACGCAATTTGATCATCTGGACACCTGCCCTTTTCGAGTGATTATGCATATATAATATTTCTGAGCATGCGTCGCAATTGGTGGTCTGAAATTGGTTTGTAGAAAACGCAATATTCAGATTTCTTGTACATATCCCAAGCGGTGCTACCCCGACAAGCTTCTAGTGATTCAGCCGTAGTGGCATTTTTCTACACTACATGTAAAGCGCAACATAGAAATGGCACATCCTTGCTATCAAACTCCATAAGACTGCGGCATATTTCCAGGATAAACCCATCCAGCCTCACCATCAAGTGAAATAGCGCAATTTCTGAATATCAGAACAAAAGCAAAAGCTCTTGAAGTCCTTATAGTAGAAGCTTTACCGAGATCTCTGCTAAACTGTCAGATGAGGTGAAACAAAAATTTCTTGAAAAACCTCAACATGGTACCAGCCGAGGAAATGCTTCTCCAAGCCTCCTAGGAAAACCTTATAGAACCAATGCATGTCTTGGTTGCAAACGAGTTTTCTGAACTTTCTACATTCTGCAGTAGCATTCAATCTCCTAAAACAATAGCTGAGCAAAAACACCGTCTTCTTGGTGCACTCAAGTTGGTAATTTGCCACCCTTGGCCATCCTTGTAACATTCAATCTGCCATTGAACCAATAGAGAAAGTTAAAATCTTATATTGAAACTCCTATAGAAAGTGAAGACAGTGGAGAAATCCTCAGATACCGTGTCTACAATGTCTCCACCGGTCTTCACTCCGCCAATTACATAGATTGACTCCTTCAGAACAGCAGCAGCTGAATATCCCCTGGAATGGTTCATCGGCTCCCCAGTCATCCATTTTCCAAGCCGAGGGTCAAATATCTCAATGCTTGGCGACATGTCACATTCATCATAGCCTCCCAAGGCATATCTGTCAAAGCAATTATTTGAAAGATTGGCAAATAAAAGTGAGACGTAATGATTCTTTAACATTTTAACAAACCAAGAGTTTTTCGAGCACATACAATATTGATTTAGTTCCAAGTGGGCCATACATCTGTGCCTGCCTGGCAACTATTACTGAATTCCATTTGCTTTCTATGTCAGACATGATATTATGTTCAACTTCAAGTAACAAAAACAGATTTCCCAAGCTAAACAAGGCAAATGAACATTTTAACAGTGAACACAATGGGCGGATGTCGTTCATCCAAATAAAGGCCAACTAGACAACAATTCAATCTTTCAAGATAGGTTCTCTAAGCCAGCTGTAAGTTTGTTACTTTTCTTGAACAATCTTTTAAAGAATAGTCAAGGTCTGTAAAATGTTGAATACCCAAACAGATGAAAAGCTTGTCAGCATTACAGCAAAAGCCCATTTGTTATTCCATCCTCTCCCAAAAACTTGCCTCCAACACCACAAAATGTGTCAATCCCTAGTACTAAGAACATAATTTCTTTATTTGAGTACGAAGGATGGCTCAATTTTAATCAGTTGGCAAAGATGAGATGAGAGGGCTTGAAATGCAAAAATAACAAGCACAACCAGTGATATGTCAGAATTGGAGAAAAAAGAAACAAACTTACATCTTTTCATTCATAACGACTACTGAGTGACAGCCCCTCTTGGTATTCATACTCTCAATTCTGCTCCAAGAATGTTCCCTGGGATCAAATCTTTCTGCAGATCTGAGAGAGTAGAAATTCCAATAAACAATACAATGGTCAAATTTCAAGAGACTGAAGTACAATTCTGCTTGCCATAATTTTCGTTATGTGAAAGAGATGAATGCTTATAAGTTACACATAAAGAAATAAAATTCTAAAACTTACTTCAAATAATTGTCCCCATCATATCCACCAACAGCGTAGAGAGCACCATTGAGCTCTGCTGCAGCAAGAGCAAATCGCTGGAACATAAGAACATCATTCAGAATGCATAATGTTAGTGCAATTGAAGATGATACAGTGTTTCTAAAACTAACACTACCAAAATCAAATTGACATGATATGAATCCCATAGAACACTAAGGTTACTAAGGCTTGTAACTTCAAAATGTAGGGAGATAAGACAAAGGAAGCACAGCTTTTTATCCATCACTTACAAATCCTTTCATCTGTGTCAGCATGGTGACCTCAAAAGTTAAATTTTTTAGTATAAAAGAAAATATTGTAGGCATTGGATGACTTGTGACTGTTGTACAAGCAAATAGCGTTATTTTAAGATTGAAACATCCGTCTTATCTATGTAACATATATAAGAAATTACAGCTGCAACATACTCAAACTATAAGAAATGAGATCATCAGACAACTAAACCTCCAAGATTCACAATTATGCAAAGCCTATGCCTGTCGTCAAATCTATGTACAGATGAAGCAAGGGCAAGTTACAAAGATCACAGGCGTGCCAAAACCAGTTTCAAGCCTAGGAATTTGAACTTTAAGGGGAAGCTTCAAGAATTCAGGATTTTCATAGTTCTGACCTCAATGACATAAGCTGATAAACTAGTTCATAACTTTGTAACCTGAGAAATTGCATCAATTACCTTTTGTAGCATTGACCTGGTGGGTATCCATCTTCCAACATTTACATCATACATTTCCACATCTGAAAAACAGTCAACCCCATTTCCACCACCAAATGCAAAAATTTTGTTGTCCAAAGTAGCGCCAGCTAAGCTACCTTTCTTCTTATTCAATGATGAGCACAGACTCCATTGATCTTGGGCAAAGTTATATGACTCAACTTCAAAAGAGTAAAAACTAGAAATAAGCAACCAGAGAGATGTGCATATACATGTATCTGCACAGAGAGAGGTAAGTAAGTAATACCCGTGTCAAGCCATGCACTACCAGTTCCACCGCCAAACACATATAGTTCTCCATTTAACTTTGCCACTGAGGAATACGATCGAACAGAACTCATTGGCTTAAGAGATTTCAAGACATCATGTGAAGGAGAAAACAAATCCAATGCTGATGACCACAATACACCATCATATCCACCCACGAGAAATATTGATTCATCAAGGTCCAAGTGGAAGTCATCACATGACTTGATTCCTGTTCCATCCACATGCACCAGGGAAGTATTTGACCTTGACTCCAACATCATAAACCTACACTTTAGTTGGCTGATTTCTTTTTCTGCCTCTAGCTGAAATGCCACATAGGTAACAGTAATGTAAGCAAGTGCATGGATAAACATGCAAGTCAGGGTTGAATCTCCATTGTAATCAAGCATATGCTCCTGAGATCAAGTGATAGATTTGACAACTAATGCACCAAAATAACCCCAAATCTCATCCTATATTCAGTGCCTATGGAGACATCAAGGAGTATACATCATAAAAGAATATGTAATGTAGCAAAGAAAACTTCAACCAATGGGCAAACAGTGCTAGCAAATATCACTAAAATGCGCATAAATACTCCCGACAGGCATCAATGTTCCTCATTTACAGGTCAGATTTAGATAATTATACAGTCTTTGATTATTTATTTATGACGTAGACACCATAAGTGATTCCCATCATTATCTTGAACTACAAAACATATTTGTCGAACAACTCACAAAATAGATACTCGATGTCCGATATGTATATAACATCTAAGAAAATTGGTCCTGAACTAAATGTTAATCACACAGATCTCCACCCTTTAACTCTATAATGAAAAGTTCATATATCAGTCAAATCAATCCAAGAAGTCATTGTGAGAAACTTCCCTACCATTGGATAGTGAATCCAATAGTCAGAAAAACATTGGGAGAGATGAAGACTCTTAATTTATCATAAGAGAATACCAGTTTCTGTTCCATACGATTTGCCTTTTGGATTTGCTCTTCTTTGAAAGCCATTAGCTCTTTCATTCCTTCAAGCATCTGCATCAAGAGAAATCAATAAGACTGTATCGAGTGCAATCAAATAGAACATGTATTCTGTTGAAAGAGAGTAGGAACTATACAAAGATCAAATACCTGAGCCACCAGTGATGGATCAGACAAGTCATAAGAAATTACAGGATTATTTTTATTCTTCTTCCCTGAAAATTCTGCCAGCAATGATTCTTGCCCCAATTTCTCATCTCTGGCAGTGGCAATTTCTCCTACATGTCCCCTCATAGGTGCATCTGAGGACTCAAGATTAATAGCTAGCTCTTTTAGTTTCAAGTAGATGATGTCTTTTGCATCTCTATCTGATTCTTGATTACCCAGGGATGACTCTAGTAGCTGGCAGTTACCAGGATCAGGGGAGTTGACAAACTTGTTCCTTAAGACTGGTTGCTCATAAGCTCCGTTTTCCTCTCTCTTCTCGTTAGAAGTTAAACCATACAACGCATTCCTCCATTTCGCTGTGTTTTGTGGTACAAATGTACTAGGAGCAATTGCCATTGCAGAGAGTTTTGCCATCAATCTACGTGCTTGAGTATGATCGAGCTCAAACCAGAAATGGCTTACATTATAATAGTTGTCCAGAATTATAGGCTTGAACTGGTCTTCTAGCAGTGGTTGACACTGCAGCCTTATACGTATTTGAACCTTCAGTAAAATTGAAAACTTAATCAACTATGCAAGTATGTCCAAAATAAACAAATAACTCAATGTAATAATAGACAATTGCAAAATAGTACTTGGGCAGGATATGGTGTTCTCTCAGAACCATCTGGTGTCCATGCATAGGGATTTATATTCATTTGTCCACAACTAGCAGCCTCAAAGATGCCATGAAGCTTCCTGTCAGTGTAATTGAACAGAAATAGTGGCAGACCTGGATCAATGTTCTTTACATACAAGAAATGCTGAGCTGGCAAGCCTGTCAGAACGAATATAATAATGAGTGTGCGAGTTTGAATGCATGAAAGAGAAAAGACGGAAATCATTCGGAGAAGGGAGAAAAACAAAACCAGTAATGAAATACATGAATGTGAAAAGATCACTTGCCCAAAACATTAAAAGCCATAAACTTCTCTTTCTTCATAATTATCACCTCAATCAATCAATAAAAATGTGAATGTGAAAGACCACAACTTACGAACATACCAAAGATCTGTTTCGAAAGACATTCTTTAAACGTGTTGTTCTTGCAACCAAATATGACACCACCAAGGTTGCTCTTTCCCAAATTCCTTGCAAAATAAGTAGTGGCTGGCTGTTTCATTTTGGGAAGCAAATTGTCATTCAACTGGAAGTTTTCTTGTTTTCTTCCTACGCCCATCCTGTAAGTCCAGATTGATAAATTGTCAGATAAAGAAACAAACATGAACGTTTTCTGTACTTATTGTCTCCGTAACAATCAACATTGCTATGACTGAACACTAAAACGGAAAAACCCCTAATTACGTTGACATTCAATTCACATTCTTTTCCCTTTTCTTGGTGCAATATATGTAAATTCGCAATAAAGGCGTTCTACAATGCTGAGTATATACTACAACTTCCATAAGTCCAAGTGAAACAAAAAGCCCATCCTAAGAAGTTCAATCAATGCGTATTTGCTTCAAACACACACGTACGGATGCATGATAGGGAAATCCATGTCACTCGGCTCCTGCCCTTTCAGGCAACAGCAAGGGTCAGGAATATGCATCCTTGGATCGGAACTTAAATGAATCTTTAATGCATACCACCATAAACTGCAGGCCACAGTAAAGCAAGTGTGCAGAAGCACTGAGGTTGTATTACATGCTTAAAATAAGATGGTTATCCTGCACGGCTCTAACAACAGAGATTGGAATAAACAATCTTCTGTTTTGCTTGAATCTCTAACATTGCCCTCTCTCAAGACCCTTGTAATGATACTAGAAATAACTTTCTTTTATTGGTTATATCAGTTATATGTTGCATGCATCAATATGTAAATCATCCTGGACCAGATATTGGTTTCTATTTTCTAAGATGGTACAGAAATGAAAAGGAAAATAAGTTTAAACAAAAACTGTTAAACAACCTTCAATTTGTTTCCATAAAAAACATCCATAGTACAGCTGCCTAAAGATCTATTCCACTTCAAGACCCAACTTTGACATACTGTTTATGAATAGGAGAAAGCTTGGTTCATTGCAAAAACATCTGCTCAATGTTAAAGGTCACGGGCTTAATTCAAATCTATCATCCCTCGAATCCAACTCTCCCAAACCTAAATAAAGAATGGTATAACAACTAGAATGTCCACAAAGAATGGTAGCTGTAGTTTTTATTAATCTTTGAATCCAAGCAGCAATGTTCTTGGAGCCTTCAGCAAAGTAGGAGATTAAACCTCAAACCTAAGAAAAACTATTTTTATAGACACAAAAATCTCCATAACCTGGAATATTCAGGGTTACAGTCAAACGAGGACGTCGTAAAACCTTTTTTGCTGATTCTGAAACGATCTATAGACAATTGTATTTTAGGGGAAAAAAAAAAAAAAACAGTCCTAGAGGCAAGTAATCAATCGCAGAAATTGACACTATATATTGTAAGGCCCATTTCCTCTTATGGGCAGAAGGAAAAGACGTACTTTATTTACAAATAAGATTTCATAAATACAGACGTCAATGAGAAAAAAGATAGGCGCCGTCGGAAAACCATCAGCTTGATGATCTGATGCTACCATTCACATTGCGCACCATTGCTTAATCAAAAAAGGGAAGCAAAAGAATAACAGATCCGCGATTTCACTGCCAGTACAAGGCTCAAAACCCCAGTTATAGTATTCTCATTTAGCATTCATTTCCTACTAGTATTTTATAGTAATAATCCAAAAGGGAAAGAAAAAAAAATGGTAACCAATAGAACTTCCACACGACTTATCAGATATGCCAATATGCATCAAGAAAACAATTAAGGAAGGGGGAGGGGGGTGGAGTGGAGAAACAGTTCGCTTTTAAAAAAATGGAAAACCGGAATATATATATATATCCTAAGATGCAATTATACATGGAAAAAGAAAAGAAATTAGGCAGAAAAACAATAAATGGTAGCGGGATGTGTTATAACGTGAGAGTGCATAGACTGTGGGAAGAGAGAACCTGGAATGAAGAATGCGGGACGATGGAGAGAGAGAGAGTAGTAAAAGAAAGGCCGAATGGGAGGAGGAATAAAAAGGGGAGGTTGTCGCTGTCAGAAATTGGACGCGGGAAATGTTGACAGGCCAACTGCGACGGTTTGTTTACTGTTTACTCGACTAATTACTGGCAATACTCTCAAGTCCCAAGTCCCAGCTATACATACATATATATACGTTTGCAGGGTTTGAGTCAATAACAAACTGGTATTGTAAAGAATAATAAATAAATAAATAAAAGGGAAGGTTAAAAAGGTAAAGACATTTTATAAATATTGCAAAACATAATACAACTATGAGTGTGCATTTGGTAAAACATTCTATTTATTACTACTACATTAAATAGATGAGCCGTCCATTCCCCAACACTTGGAGCTTTGGAGCAAAGGTTTTTCTGCTGACATGATGGATGAGTGAGAGAGTCTGAGAGAGAGGGTACCTGTTGTATTCTCTAGAATTGATCTAGGGCTGTCAACGGGCCGGGTCCTGGCCGGAATTCATTATTCTGGACCCGGACCCGAATTACTATGCCGGATCCGGACCCGACCCGTTTACCCGACGGGTCTTTTATTCTACGTCCCGGATCCGGATCCGGGTCTATCCGAACAAATTTACCAAATTTTATAATTTCTAATAAAAATGAGAAAAAAATATATTTGTAAACTAATTTCTAACTAATGCAAAGAAAAAATCAAATAAGAAAAGAAATCAAATTAACTTTATTAAAATACATCACCCTAATCAAATTATATTGATAAATATATATTTTTTAAATTATTAATTCATTTATATCCGAATCCGGGTCTAATACGGGCCGGAATACTATATTCCGTATCCGACCCGTTTTTTTTGTTTGACAAAACGGATCCGGATCCGGATCCGGGAAACGGAATTAAATCCCTACCCATACCCGCAATAATTTCACGGATCCGGTCCGGATCCGGGTCTAGACCCGACCCGTTGACAGGCCTAAATTGATCTCCCGTGCGTGCGTAGGCCTGTCAAGGAGTCGGGTCTAGACCCGGATCCGGATTGGATCAATAAAATTATTGCGGGTATGGGTAGGAATTTAATTATATTTTTCGGATTCGGATTCGGATTCGTTTTGTCAAATAAAAAACGGATCGGATACAGAATATAGTATTCCAACCCGTATTAGACCCGGATCCAGATATAAATGAATTAATAATTTAAAAATATATATTTATCAATATAATTTGATTAGGGTGATGTATTTGTGTAAAGTAAATTTGATTTCTTTTCTTATTTGGTTTTTTCTTTGCATTAGTTTACAAATATATTTTTTTCTCATTTTTATTAGAATTTATAAATTTTGCTAAATTTGTGCGGGTAGACCCGACCCGGATCCGGAACATAGAATAAAAAAACCGTCGGATAAACGGGTTGGATCCGTTTCCGGTATAGTAGTTCGGGCACGGGTTCGAAATAATGAATTCCGGCCCGTTGACAGCCCTACCCGTGCGGTCCGTTATTTAAAAAAAAAATAAAAAACTCTCCGGACCAAATTTGGGATTATCGATTTGGTTCTCCGGTGACCAGAGTTTTGATAAACTCAAATTCAGCTTACAAACAAAATAGAGCTTTTGAGTTCGGATTCAAATTTATATTAGTTTTAGGCTCAAATCAAGCTTAACTCGAACTCATAATTCAATATATATATATATATATATATATATATTTAACAATTATGATTCACTATAAATTTATATATAAATTATTTTATAATATATATAATTAAATAGTAACTATTATTATACTATATATTATATATATATATAATTATATACTTATAGACGGGTTGGGCCTTAATCAAACCTGAGCTCAGCAAACCTCAATCTCATCTTACATTTGATTTGGGTCCAATGTTCAAATTCCAACTCCATCCAACCTTGAGCTTAGATGGTTGAGGAGCCCAGTGGCAGGAGGCCCACCGCACACCCACTTCAAATCCAATTTTCTATGCGTTATGGAGTAGCACACAAACTAAAGTAGAGTACACACATTCGGAAGCTGTGTAATAACCAACGTATTTCAGGGACATGCCATGAAAACTAAACAATGCATTGTAGATAAAAAGGTAGACGGAGATGCATTTCAAAAATAAACTCTTCTCTTTCAGTAAGTTAATGGTGAAACACAAGAAGCAAATATATAATATGTAATATTACTTACTTTACTGAGAACGGGATAATCCGCAGATTTTTAACATCAAATTCTACTATAGAAACTAGTCCACGATTTTGTATTGTGTCCATGCCATTATTTCATGGGTCAACGTATTGGACTCGAACTAAACAACGCAGAGACGATGATGCATTAATGTTCGTGTGTAAAAAATTGGCTGGGCGGGATAGGGTAGGCAAATTATGTCATCCTCTCGGGTATTTTCAGACCCAAAACATAAACTGATTGAGAACAAAATGGCGTGAAAGACACCACGGCCTGTTTGGCACTCTAATTTTTTACCAAGTTTTTTAGCTACTAGTTTTTTAACAACTTTTGCTACAGAAATTCCAAAAAAACTTTTCAAAATTTTTTACTTACACACTTCAAAAATACAAAAAAAATTTCTCAAAAACTTTTCTTCCTCCCTCACCCAACCACCACACCAGCCACTACCCCCACCACCTCTCCCGGCGCCGATAACCTCAAAAAAAAATTTTCTGTCCATCACCCTCACCCCCTCTCCTCCCCTCCCCTCTTCCCCTCTCCCTTCCCTGCCACCCTCCCCTTCTCTGCTTTACGATCTAGTCGCGCGACCAGATCGCACCTAGCAAGAGGGGAAGGGTGGCGGGGAAGGGAGAGGGGAAGAGGGGAGGGGAGGGAGGAAGAAAAAAAGCTAAAAAAAAAAAAAAAAATGCACAGCTACCGCCCAGATCGCGTCAGGGGAGAGAAAGGGTGGCTAGGGAGGGGAGGGGCAGGGGGGGAAGGAACGGGAAGGGGAGGGAGAGGGCTGGGGAATAGAGGAAAGGGGGAGAAGGAAGGGTGGCGGGGGGAGGGAGAAGGGAACAGAAAAAAAGCAAAAAACAAAAAAAAAAAGGAATCACCTGGAAGTCTCGGGAGAGGGAACAGAGGAGGGAAGGGGGTGGGAGAAGGGAAAGAAATGGAGGAAGGAAAAGAAAAAAGAAATAAATAAAGAAAGAAAAAGAAATGGAAAAAATGAAAAGGAAAAAAAATTTCATCTTACAAACACCCAAAAATTTTTCTTGCAAAAGTTTTTCTACAGCTTCTACTGTGATCTACAGTAAAATTTTATACATACACCCAAAAAACTCACCTTCCAAACAGCCCCACATTATGTGATATGTTTGGAGTGAGATTATTTGAGATAAAATAATTTGTTTCATAAATTTTAATTTTTTTATAATTTTAATTATTTTTTATCTCACATATATCATATCACATCACATTACATCACAAAAAGTGTTATAATAATTTATTTCAAATAAATCATGCAAATAAACTCTATTCAAACAAACTGTACTACTCTACTATTCACTTAAATCAGCCAGCTAGAATTTGCTTGCAGAATGCCTAGCTCTTTTTTTTTGGTTTGGGGTTAGGGGTTGGCTGATGTACGCAGATTAACCATGTCCATTAAGATGGATTTTGCCTTCACAAAATGCTAGTATTGTACAGCAAAAACTTGGAAGATTCAATCAAAGTCGGATCAAATAATTGCATATCTTATTATTTAACAGAGAATAATTATTTGGATTGAAGTTTTTTTTGCAGAAAATTTTTTGCATATTTTGCGACTACATTTCTCAAATATTATTTTTACTTCACATATATCAAATCAATATGATATATTTTTCAATAGAAAATCTAGAAAATGACAATCCAAACCAATACTTCTCCAAGATTGGCATACAATTAGGGATTTAGGATTCATTCATTGGATTTTAATCGTATCTATAATTTTGTTAATATCGGTTGCTAATCACTTTTGGATAAACCACAGGTAAGAAGTGAAAGAAAAAAAGGGATAATTGCAGAAACCTCCCTTGAGATTTCTAACATTTGCACTAACCTCCCCTGTAGTTTGAAAATTATACTGACCTCCCCTGAGGTTATTAATCCTTTGTAAATTCAGTCCAAACGATAAAAATATTGTTTTAGGGAGTGAAATTAGAATTTTTTACCAAATTTATCCTTTGTACTACATGTCCAATGAATGACAAAATACTACAAATCAATTAACAATTAATAAACTTTAAGGAATATAGTTTATAGACAAATATACATTACCTATTTAAAGTACCGGTTCTTTATGAGTATTTTACTTTCAAACATTTAATTTAATATAAATATTTACGCTCAAATACATATTTGTATTTACTTTCAAATATTTAATTTTTGTTAAATACAAAAATTACCAATCTCGCTTGCGTAAAAATATTAATATAACACTTTTTCAATTTTAGTTACAAACATTTATGTATTTAACATAAATTAAATGATTCAAAATAAAATACCCATAAAGAGCCAATACTTTACTCATGTAATGGATGAAAGTTATAAAAAATTAATACTTTATGGGTCTTTTTAAAAAAAATATTTAATTTAAATTAAATAAATAACCTACCATTTTCCTTTTTGCAAGAATATTACTGTAACATTTTTTGAATTTTACTAACAAACATTGATATATTTATCATAAATTAAATGTTTGAAAGTAAAATATCCGTAAAAAACTGGTACTTTAAATGAGTAATACGTGTTTGCCTATAAAGAACCGGTAACTATTTAATGTACCGGTTCTTTAAGGATATTTTACTTTTAAACATTTAATTTAATACAAATATTTACGCTCAAATGCAGATTTGTATTTACTTTCAAATATTTAATTTTTTTAAATACAAAACCTACAAATCTTTCTTTCTTAAAAATATTTATATAACATTTTTTCAATTTTAGTTACAAACATTTATGTATTTAATATAAATTAAATGATTCAAAATAAAATGCACATAAAGAGCGAATACTTTACTCGTGTAATGGATGAAAGCCATAAAAAATTAATACTTTATGAGCCATTTATTTTTTAAAAAAAATATTTAATTTATATGAAATAAACAACCTATCGATTTCTTTTTTGCAAGAATATTACTATAACAATTTTTAAATTTTACTTACAACCATTGATATATTTATCATAAATTAAATATTTGAAAGTAAAATACCTATAAAGAGTTGGTACTTTAAATGAGTAATGCGTGTTTGTCCATAAATTATACTCCTTGAAATTTATTAATTATTAATTAATTTATAGTACTTTGTCATTCATTGGATATGTAGCACAAAGAGCAAATCTGGTACAAAATTCTAATTTCACTCCCTACAATAATATTTTAATCGTTTGGACTAAATTTGTAAAGGATTAGTAACCTTAGGGGAGGTCAGTGTAATTTTTTAAACTACAGGGGAGGTCAGTGCAAATGTCAGAAATCTCAGGAGAGGTTTCTGCAATTATCCAAAAAATGCCCCCCCCCCCCCCTCTCTCTCTCTCTCTCTCTCTCTCTCTCTCTCTATCTCTCTCTCTCTCAACACCAGTAAAAGAGTCAAAAGGCACCTGGGCCCAGTGCTGCGTATCCTCTGTTTAAAGCTACTTTGAAAGTTCACATTCAAACTTGAAACAGCATCGCGGCTGGACACCCATACACGCACAGATTAATCGTGTCACCTCTACGACAATAATTTAAGACCTGCTCCTCAGTCCTTGCCATCTCTCACTTTCCTCAGGACAATCTCAGCTTTCTCTCTCTCTCTCTCTCTCTCTCCTTGTCTATTCTCTTCCCCGTTCCCATCTCTCCTTCTGCTCCATCACTAGATTCCCCCCCAAGACAATCGAACCGGCGCTTTTCCTTTTCGTTACCCGCCGGCACTCCCATCCGCACTCTCCCAAAAAGAATCCCTTTACATCTTCCAAATTTTCAATTCACACGTACAAAGCAACCACAAACAGGAACAACTTTTAGCCACGCTCTCGCTCTCTCTCTCACGGCTACTACTGCTCCTCTATAGTTAGAGTCTGCACAACAACAATCTCCGCATTTTGCCCATAAATTAAGAGATTCCTCCTGCTGTTTCCATCTCCTCCGTGCAAATGATGGAAACTTCATCGCAGTTGTCCGTTCAGCAAGCTCCCCACCACCACCACCAAGACCACCCGACGGTACCTCCCGGTGATTCCCCAATGCCACCACCCTCGCAAGCTTTAAAGAAAAGCTTCGTTACTTCATTAATGGAAGCTGCCGCGTTGCGCACTCCATCCTTTAAAGAAGACACCTACTTTGTCTCCTCCCTCAGGCCATCTGAGAAGAAGGCCCTCCAGGAGCTCAAGGACAAGCTCATGGCCTATCCCGGACCGGCTGAGCACTCCATGTGGGGAATTCCCTTGTTGGGCGGTGACGAGAGGGCTGACGTCATCCTCTTGAAATTCTTGCGGGCCAGGGACTTCAGGGTGGCCGACTCCGTGCACATGCTGCTCAAGTGCCTGTCCTGGAGGAAAGACTTCGAGGCCGACAAGATATTAGACGAAGATTTGGGGTTTAAAGAGCTGGAGGGGGTTGTGGCTTACATGCACGGCCATGATCGGGAGGGGCACCCGGTTTGCTACAATGCTTATGGGGTGTTCAAGGACAAGGACATGTACGAGAGGATCTTTGGAGATGAGGAAAAGCTCAAGAAGTTCCTGAGGTGGAGAGTTCAAGTTCTTGAAAGAGGCATTGAGCTTCTACATTTCAAGCCTGGTGGGGTTAATTCCATCATTCAAGTCACTGATCTTAAGGACATGCCCAAGAGGGAGCTTAGGGTGGCCTCTAATCACATTCTGTCCCTATTCCAAGATAATTATCCTGAGATGGTTGCCCGTAAGGTAGTTGCTCAAAATTTTCGAACAAGTTATCTTTTTTTTTTGCTAAAAAAACTCAGTACTACTAGTATTTATGTCTTTTCTTTTTTTTTTTTTTTGGGCCCGTAGATTTTCATCAACGTGCCATGGTACTTTAGTGTGTTGTATTCCATGTTTAGTCCGTTTCTGACTCAAAGAACGAAGAGCAAGTTTGTGATCTCCAAGGAAGGAAATGTGGCCGAGACGCTTTACAAGTGAGTAGTAGTGCTACTCTACTAATAGTAGGAGGTTTGGTGCCGTATTATTATTGCGTTTTCCTTTTTGTTCTGGTATATTCCCATTGGGCTTTGCATATCCATTTTTTCTCCATAGACCTGTAGCATTAGGCACTAGCCGCATTATTAATATTGTTTCTTGTCCTCCGTGTATATATATATACATCATACGTACACTTATATATTTGTTTCAGTGTGCCTGCATCAATGACTAGCTATGATGACTTGTAGAGTACTTAATGGTCTGCAGGTCTTTTGGAGCGAAAATTCGTCTGCTTCCAGATTATCTGGAGTATTTTTGTGGGCTTAAGATTGTGTTGTGTGACTTCTTTTCTGATTCTCTCAATCAATTACCTGGGCTAATGGGAATGTATTTTATTTTATTTCCTTTTGTTGTTCTTTCTAGTAAACAACAATTATCTTTATTAATTAATAATGCTTACTCTACTAGTAAGCAGTACTTTTTTTCTTTAATTATTTTGTTTTAAACTTTTAGAGTGTCTGGAGTGAAAATTCGACTGCTTTTTGGGTTGTTGTTAATGATAAGTGGTAGTGGTAGTAATTTAATAATTGCCTTTTTGGGTGTGCTCAGATTCATAAGGCCCGAGAATGTGCCGGTCCAGTACGGCGGACTTAGCCGACCGGATGACGTGGATGGCGGTCCACCGAAACCGGCATCCGAGTTCACTGTGAAAGGTGGAGAGAAAGTCAATATCCAAATTGAGGGAATCGAGGTTGGGTAATCGACTTGCCTCCTTTGTCAATTCCACGTTAACCTCCCATCCATGATCCATCCATGATTCGCTTTACTTTTTTTTTTTTTTGTGTCAAGCTTTTGAGATCCCGCATGCATGCTTGCAAGTAGTAGATACTACTACTATACTAGTCTCTACTATACTAGTCGTTGTGAGAGTATATTCCAAAATTTCTTTTTTCATATATATATATATATATATATATATATATATATATTGGTGGTCGTCGTAGTTAGATCATATGATTAATTGTTTGGCTCGGTGGTTGCATAAAAATGTGTGGTCGTAGGCGGGGGCAACAATATCATGGGATCTGGTGGTAGGAGGGTGGGAAGTGGAATACAGCGCGGAGTTTGTACCCAGCGGGGAGGGCAGCTATTCAATTGCTGTGGAGAAGACTAGAAGGATTAGCAATGGCAATGGCAATGGCAATGCTGCTGCCGCCGCCGCCAACCAAGAGGCGATTCGCAACTCCTACACGTCAAAAGAAGCCGGACAATTGGTGCTTTTGGTGGACAACACTGCCTCCCGGAAGAGGAAGGTGGCGGCTTATCGATATACAGTTCGCAAATCGGCTCCCGCGTAATTAACTGAAGCCCAAATAAAACCACCGCTAATTACTTGTCTTTTTTTTTTCCCTTTGGGAAAAGAGGAGGGGTCGTGTGTGTGTTGGTTGCGGCTTTGAAGAGTTTTTGATGATTATCTGCTACCTATTATAGTACAATGCTTGTGAACCTAATGACATCTAATACCGCTGGTATTTAAAATTAGCATGTCCGTCCTTCGACCTTCGTACGATGAATGTGCCAATTTAAAATTAGTAAGTATTCTTTGGAAATTTTTTTAAACTCTGTACTGAGATATGTCCTCGGTAATTTATTTAGATACTCGACGCATAAGAAGCGTATGCGTATGCATGTCAGGATGTGCGTGAATGATGATGATGATGATGGAGGAGAGAGGCCAGCCGGGGGCCTGGAACAAAGTGGGGTCTGAATGAAAAACGTGTTGGTACAAGGCAAATTGTGGGGACTGAGACTGAAATGTTAGGGGGGGGGGGGAATTGGTCGCTCGTTTTCAACCTGCTCGCCCTTTGCTTTTTCTTTCTTTTCCTTTTCCTTCTTTATTTTTTATGCGTGCTTTTTTGGGAACTGTAAAAACCAGTGGTAGGCAATGGCAGTGGTGGGGTGGACGGTAGCCTGTGTACTCTACCAAGACCGCTGCTGCCGCTGTTGCGTTTTGGAAGGTTTTGGATCCGAGTTCCCAAAAAGAAGGCTTGCGGCCTGTGGCCTGTGGGGTCGACATAAATAAAAGAACTTGGGAGAGCCTTTTTTTTTCCCTCCTCTTCAAATGTTCTGATTGGATTTTCTCTCCTCTGTCACTACTTTCTTGGGCGCGGAGAAGGCGTACTGTGTATTGTTTTTCATTCATCATCCCGAGAATACAAACCATTCAATCTTATTACGGAGTCTTTTGAATCGATAAAACAATTGAAAACATTTGCCTTGAAGAGCTACTAGTTATAACTTAGTTATAATGCGGATTGCGTTTTATTCTGCAAACTCAGAAACACGCAAGTATATGAAGTGGCATCGTTTGATTACCAGCTCCTTAATGCTTTTTTTTTTTTTTTTTTTTTCAATTTATTTATGTGAAATCATACTCTAGATAGAGCCTTACCTGTAACACAAGAAAAGGGAGGGTGGTGTTGTGGTCCCTTAGTAGGTCTGTCAACGGGTCGGGTCCGGGTTCGAAATAATAAATTTCAGATATGGATTCGATCCGTTTAATTGATGGGTCTTTTATTCTATGTTCCGGACCCGGATCCAACGGGATTTCGGATCCGGGTCCGGGTCTACCTGAAAAAATATTTATGAAAATTTACAATTTCTAATAAAAATAAAAATATATATATTTGTATACTAATTTCTAACTAATACAAAAAAAATCAAATAAGAAAATAAATCAAATTGACTTTACGCAAATACATCACCCTAATCAAATTATATTGATAAATATACATATTTTAAATTATTAATTCATTTATATTCGGTCCGGGTCTAATACGAGTCGAAATATTATATTCCGTATTCGATCCATTTTTTTTATTTGACAAAACGGATCCGAATCCGAATCCGAATAACGAAATTAAATTCCAACCCATACTTATATTAATTTCACGGATCCGGGTTGGATCCGGATCTAGATCCGGACCGTTGTCAGGCCTATCCCTGAGGTCACTCCGATGCATAAATTAGACACTTATTTATATTAAAGTGAGATTGCATGTACCACGAATTGACAAATAACCCGCAACGGATCTCCTGTCTCACACCCTGTGCCACTCTCTGTCCCACTTTTTATTAAATTACTATTTCTTCTTCACAAATATCATGTTTTAATTCTTTTTTATTTCCTTATGATCCAATAACTATTAATTGCGAAAAAAATAAATACAACAGTTTCAAAAAACTAATATATAATAGAAAATTAAAAAATACAGCAGAAAATTCATTAAAAATCTCATTTTTTATGCATTTTGATTTTTTATGTTTGTTAAATTTTGTGTATTGCTCAATTAATAGTTATTGCATCTTAAGAAAATAAAAAAAGAATTAAAACATGATGTTTGTGAAGGAAAAATAGCAATATAGTAAAAAATGAGACAGAGAGTGACACAAAATATGGGACAGGAGATCCGTTACGCAAATAACCAGTACTTATGCTAGTAAAACTATGGGACGAAATTACAAATAACCAGTAATTATTTAGGGATAATTTCAAAAACCTCCCTGGAGGTTTCTGACAATTTCACTTACCTCCTTTCAGGTTTGGATAATTACACTAACCTTCCTTCATGTAGTAAAATGACTATAATATCCTTCACTTATAAATAATTCCTGCAAACAAAAAAACTCTACAATTACAACTAGTCTTTTATTTTAAAACAACTACTGCCACACAAACTAAACTATTGTTCTATCTCTTTAACTCCTTCTCTTATTTTCTTTCTCCTATATCTCTTTTTTCGAACATAGACACACACTCTCTCTTCTGTTTTCTTTTTTTTTACAAGTATAATTGAATTAAAATTACAAAATGACAAGTTGCTGGATCATATTTATTATCAAACTAAATGAAGGTGAAAAAGACGGTGGTGATACAGAGTATATACAGGAAAATAAAAATGATAGCTACAAAAGGAGTGCAGATTAGAGAAGGTTACGATATTATATCAATTGTGTAAAAAAGAATTTTGAGATATAAAAACTATAATTAGATTTGCCTGGAGACATGGGATGTGGTCTCTATTGTTGCTTTTGGTTGTTCCGTGTTGGTATTCATAGTAGGTTACATTATTTTAGTAACAACAAGGCTAAATAGTGACATTGATCAATTCAAACATTGAATTTAGGGGAAAAATGAGACTAAATATTAGGTTGAATGCAGACTTTAATGGTCATAGTTGATTTGCATGGAAAACTTTGAGGCGGCAATAGTAGGCTGCCAAAATTGCAAGAATATGGGAATTAAGGTGAAGTGATTTATTGAGTTTGTTAGAATGGTGATTATGCCGATTACAATAGTTGCAATATCAAAAAAATTTATTCATTTGTTTTTCCCCATTCTAAGTAACAAAGGGACATTTTAGGATTTTTGAGGAGAAAGTTAACATATTGGGTCTATATTGTTACTGAAATGCTAATTATATGGGAGGTAGATGTAATTTTTTAAACTAGAAGGGAGCTTCTTGCAATAGTCAGAAATCTCAGGGGAGGTTTCTGAAATTATCCCAATTATTTATGCTAATAAAACTATGGAATGAAATGGTAAGATCTATTGGCACAATAAATAGTCTAATCTTATACTGTAGTATATAGCAACCGCGTCAGAAGACTGAAGTGATTGATTGTCATATCAGTCATGTCAAATGTCAATCATCACATTTTGATAGCCAGTCTAAACTCCTATTCACCGAGGTGAATTTGGACACTGCTCCAACAGACGGAGGTGTCCACAATCCTCAAGTCGTTTCATTTCTCTCTTAGGATAAAAGAATCTTTAATAAAAACAAAAACATCCAAAATATCTTTTCTCCTCTTTCCGTTTGTTTACGGACTATGGAGCAGCGGTGAGCGAGACTCGCGACAGGTCTAGTAGTAAAAGTTTTTTTTTTTTTTCCTCTTTAAAATCTTTAAAAAAAAAGGGGGGGGGGGCTTTTACTGGTTTCTCTTCTTTTTCCTTTTTTGGACCGACCGTTGCACGGAATCTTGATTTAGATTCGAGCCAATACAAACGGGAAATGGGAAAACGGAGAATATTAGCTGTACAGGCAAATAATAATAATATATTAAGTTAAAAGGGCAGGCTTAATAATTATAGGAACTTAGTGCTGGCCCAATCACCGGGTCCTCCCATTTCTGTAACTTTACGATTTAGGAAAGATTGAAAGGCACGAGTGGTCGGACTCCTCATCCAATACCTTTTTGTCTGAACAAAAATACAGGAGGTTGCTTGGCAGTAGCGATTTCCTGGACCCGTCAAAACCAATTCATTGTGCCGTTACTCTTCTTCATATCTAATGGGCCACCGCCACCCAACCATCATGCACTTTATGGACCTGGTTCTTGGCACGTCTCTATCTGTGGCCATTAGTTGTCCACCCCTCTACGCAACCTATTGAGGAAGGCAGAACTCAGAAGAGTTTGTGCATCTTGTGTTTCAGTCTATTGGGCTGTCGAGCCCGTTCATGGTACATCCACAAGTCCCCGGCATGATCCATCAATCTTGGGCTATGTTTTCTGAGCCCAATCCGGGTCCTGTACAAATGGCTGTGATGAGTTTAGTAAAACAAACGGTGACAATCGGCTAGCAAGTCTAAGCAAGGCCCCCTTTTTGGTCAGAGTGTTAAGGAGAGTGTTAAGGAGTTTGGTTCGAATACTGTAGTAAATGAATGGAAGGATAAGTGCGGGTCTGATCCGACTCCACTCCATATTAGTTGGGGTCCAAAGTCATTATCGGGGTATGACCAAATTTAAAAAAATAAAAGAAAAGGAGAAAAAAAAAGGATTAGAACTTGGTCGCTGTTAGTATATGCATATGCAATGAGAAAGCGGAAAATAATGATAATAATCTGCACTATATATCTACTTCTACTTTGTATCTACCTATTATATAAGAAAAAAGCCAAGTTACTATAGCATCCCATCTTTTTGACACATGTATTGCACATATTTTTGACAAGTGGATTCTTGGTCATTTTAGCTGAACTTTTCCTTCCCTTTTTTGATTCAATTGGGTCAAAATGATTAAAATATTTTTTCTCCTTCAGAAAATCAACTGTGTCGCTTCTTCTTCTTCTTGCGGCAAGTGCTGTTATTTTTTATTTTTTAAAACTAATCTAACTAAAATTATTGTCATATTCTTTTTTTTTTGTTGAGATGATTAGCTACTTAACAAAAATAAGTTTTTATTATTTTTTTTATCCCATTTTACATTTTCTTTTCTTCCTTTTTTTTCTTCATGTCTAATCTCTCATATTTGCTCTATTCTTCGATCATAATGTTATAGTCAACTGGCATTTGTTTGTTAAATTTATAGGATGATGCTATTATTTGGTATTTTTCATGGATAAAAGGTGAAATATTAAAATATGTAAAAAGATCTTAGAATTCATTTTATACCAATGATCATTTTCTATGAAGAATAAAACAATAATTCTTTCTTTTCTTTTCTCCTCCCACGATTTGATTTCTTACTTCACATTTTTTTCTTTTTCTTTGTTTTTTGGTTACATTTTGTAATTATCAACAATTTTGTGTGTTTTTTAAAGAGAAAATATATATCA